CCCCATTTTTCCCCCCAAAAAATTCCCATTTTTCCCCCGAAAATCCCCATTTTTCCCCCCGAAATCCCCGTTTTTCCCGTTTTTTTCCCCGTTTTTTCCCCAAAATCCCCATTTTTCCCGTTTTTCCCCCGTTTTTCCCAAAATCCCCGTTTTTCGCACCGATTCCGGTCTCTCCCAGGAACGCTCCCAGGCCCTGGGGGGGTCCCGGCGGGTCCCGCGATCGGAGCCAGGCCCCGAATTCGGCGCAGGAGAGCGACGAGTGCCGAGGCTCCCACTGGGCAACGAAGGGTTAAAATCAGCCCCAAAAACGCCCAAATTCACCCCAAAATTCCGCCCGAAAATTTAAAAAAAACCCCGAGGAAATCGGATTAAAAACACCCGAAAAATCCCCAAAAAACGGGAAAAAAAATCGAATTTTTTTGCCCAAAAACTCCCTTAAAAGAATTCAAATTTATCCCCAAAATTGCCCAAAAAAAATCGAAAAAAACCCAAATTTATCCCCAAAATTCCCTCGAAAATCCCAAATTTATCGCCAAAATTCACCCCAAAAATTTAAAAAAAAAATTGAAAGAAATCAGAGGAAAAACACCCGAAAAATCCCCAAAAAACGGGAAAAAAATCAAAATTTTTGGTCAAAAAATTCCATTTGAAAAACTCATAATTAGACCCAAAATTCCATTTAAAAATCCCAAATTTATCCCAAAATTCCACTTAAAAATCCCAAATTTATCCCCAGAATTACATTAAAAAATCCAAAATTTATCCCCAAAATTCCGTGAAAAAATCTCAAATTTATCCCCAAAATTCCATTTAAAAAACTCAAATTTATCCCCAAAATTCCACTTAAAAATCCCCAATTTATCCCCAAAATTCCCCCCAAAAACCCCCCAAAAAATCCCCAATTTTTCCATATATGGGCATCAAGCCCCTCCCATGCCCATATATGGACATCAAGCCCCGCCCACTTTCCTTAAGCCCCGCCCACACCAATGACTATCTATAGTAACTAAGCCCCGCCCACTTTCTTTACACCCCGCCCACCCCAATGACTTTCTATAGTAACTAAGCCCCGCCCACTTTCTTTAAGCCCCGCCCACCCCAATGACTTTCTATAGTAACTAAGCCCCGCCCACTTTCTTTAAGCCCCGCCCACCCCAATGACTTTCTATATAAACTTAGCCCCGCCCACTTTCTTTAAGCCCCGCCCACTTCTCCCATGCCCATATATGGACATGAAGCGCCTCCCAGCACCCTCCCAGTATAAACCAGTATAAACCAGTATAAAAATCCCATTTTCTCCCCGTTTTTAACCCTTTAATCCCGTCCCAGTTTATCACAATGCCCTCCCAGTCCCAAACCAGTAAAAACCAGTAAAAACCAGTAAAAACCAGTATAAACCAGTAAAAACCAGTTCAAACCAGTATAAACCAGTATAAACCAGTACCGGCAGCTGGCAGCGGGGGCAGCAGCACTGGTGGCACTGGGGGCACTGGGCCGGGCCCCGCTCGGCCTCGAAGATGAAACCGAAGGAGCACTGGGGGGGAACTGGGAGTTACTGGTTTATACTGGGAGGATCCCAGTTGGAACCAGTATAAACCAGTAACACCCCCGAACAAAACCAGTATAAACCAGTAACCCCAAACTCCCTCCCAGTATAAACCAGTAACCCCCAAACTCCCTCCCAGTATAAACCAGTAACCCCAAACCCCTCCCAGTATAAACCAGTAACCCCAAACTCCCTCCCAGTACAAACCAGTAACCCCAAACCCATTCCCAGTTCAAACCAGTAACCCCAAACCCATTCCCAGTACAAACCAGTAACCCCAAACCCATTC